GGGACGATGACGATGATTATGCCAGGTTAGGACGCCGCGGTCAGGACAAACATGTTAGAGAAGCTGCTGGTGGCGATGGCAAGGTTCGACGGCATCGACTCCCAGAGTGCACGGGTCACTCGCGGCAGCACAGACGCAGATTTAAATCGATTCAAAACCCTCGAGCGAGGGCGGGCGGGACTGGGAGCCTGAGCGCAACGGTTGCGGTCGCGCGGCCGCTCATCCCATTCCCCAGCACACACCACACTACAGTTGCTACTATGCCAGGTCGGGACGCCGCGGCCAGGACAAACTTTTTAGAGAAGCTGACGGTGGCGATGGCAAGGTTCGACGGCATCGACTCCCAGAGTGCACGGTTCACTCGCGACAGCACTGACGCACATTGTGCAACACAAACATCATGGCCGAAGGCCGCCAAGCACATATTTACGGGCCTAGGACAACTCCTCGATAGCTTCAACGATCGAGTCTGCCACTAACTCCGAAGCTCGAACGGGCAAACGGGCAGCCTTGTGTCTGCACGCGATGCCTTTAGCCGCGCGGCCATCAAAACGCAAGTGCGGCCGCCCCGAATGCGAGCACACAAACGAAGTACTGTGACACGCGCGCGCGAGACGACGCATGCTCGAGCAGCGCCAACAAGCCACGCGCGTGGACGAGCGAGTGGCAGCACCGAGTTGGCAAAGGTCCAACTGAACGTCATCGAAAGATGGGTGATTCATCAACCGAGCTAACTGGGGCACACTCCAGATAACACAACTACGCGGGTGCCCGAAACAGACGGGGACACGGCGCATAACATTATCACAGAGGAGAGACGGCAAAACGCTGACCTCGGAAGCACGGCCACGCCGGCCCCACGGATCACCCTCCGACCGACTTTGCCGAGGGCGAACCTGACGCCAGGTGCCCCTCGGCAGAGACAGCCAGAGAGCGCCGACTGCCGACGATCGAACCCACCCGAACACTCGATCGACAACAATCCGCTGAGAAAGACCGAGGCCCGCATTCCGACCCGCCCCTAACCTAGGACAACCCAGACCGCGACTGCGCAGCGCTTTGCACATGGGGGCCCCGCGAGGCCCCACCACAGGCAAGACGAGCCGCCTGCGGAGGGAAGCCCAGGCATGGGCGCACCGAAACACGGCTTTTAAGCGAGACGCTAGCGCAAGGTCAGAACAGAACAGGCACCTGCTCCACGGCCCGCGGGATGGCGGGCAAATGTTGAAGCGGAACTGGCAGAAGGAATTCGCCTCTGACGAAACCCAGCGTGATCAATTCCGCAAGCCTCTCAAACACCTGATTGCCGAACTGCGCAACCTCTGGCGGCAGGTCCCCGATTCTCTGCTGCATCCGAATGCGCTCGCCGCATTTCCTCAAAGATTTGCCCGTCGCCCATCGACCCCTCTCTGTCACTTCGGCTATCGATCGGGACCCCGAGAGCAAGTCGCAAGAGGCCCCCCCACGGCGCAGGGTGCACAAAGAGGGGGGCCCCTTCTGCAGGCCCAGCTCCCTCAGCCCCTGGGCGAACATGACGCGAACGTCGGCGGGCCCGAAATTCCAGAGGCTGGCGCTCGCGCCCCCGTTGGCGTGAGCAGCGCGGGCCGCAGCTCGGGGGCGCCCACCAGGGCCGACTCGTCGGACTCTCCAGTCTCCCCAGGGCGGCCCGACTTCGCATCGTTCACAATGAGCCCCCACGAGCTAAACCCCGCCCCCGCGATCGGCGGCACCAGCGATCCCACCCGCAGGCGGTAGGCCTCGGACGGCCACGAACACTGCCATGCTGGGCAGGTTGCGCGAGATCATCCACCCCGCCACCGCCATGGCTGCAGCCCGCGGCAGAGGGAGCCGCATCTTCGGCGGCACCAGCCTGCGCCACCGCCCAGCGCGCGGGCCGCCCGCGGCAGCGGGCGCTTGCCCCCCAGCAGGCGGGGCAGGAAGTGCCTGAGCGCCGCCGCCGACACCCCGCCCGTCGCGGAGTCGGACCCGCCCAGGGCGAGGTCGGTGAGGAACGCCACCACCACCACGCCCAGCTGGCTGAAGCTGCTGAAATCCAGGCCGCGCCACGTCACCCACTCCAGGAAATTCGCGGCGCGCCCGCGGTAGCGCTCACGCGTCGCGTCCGTGACAGCTGACATCCCCAAGAAGCTGATCGCGCCCTCCGCCAACTGCACAGGGCGAGGGTGGGCCACCCCACGGGCGGCCTGGATCGTCATGGACCGCTGCCTCTCCGCCCGCTGCAACCGGCGGCGTCGCGGTCGCCCCCTCGAAGCTTTTACCGTGGAAGAAGCCATGACGCGACGGCCTATCGGCCGCGTTCAGCTCCGAGGCCAGCCAGCGCACATAGCAGCGGGAGGTGGCCGCGAGGGCGAGAGCTGCGACTCTCCGCAAAGGTCGCCGAAGGACGGGCTTACGACCTCGTCCTTTCCCAGCCGCCAGAGCCATAGGAAGGTTATCGACCAAGAACAGACGACGATGATGGTGGATGGGGCACGTTGCGAGAGGCGCGCCGCACGGCGCCACGCAACGCCCCACCCTCGAGCTCCAAGATGTTCTTGTGGGCCCTCCAAGCGGGGCCCGTCCAGGCCAGAGGCGCTGGCCCTGGATAGTCCGGAGGAAGAGGAAAATCGCGATGAGCCTAGCTGATGTGGCCCATGGCGCTCGCCTGGGCTGCTGACGTCGCCAGCCCTGGGGGCGCAGCCGCACCCGCGCCGCGGCCGCTCATCTGGTTCAGCGCTGAGATGCCGTCGTTGGCCCAGCGCCTCCAGGCGGCCCCGCGCCGGGCGCGCCGCCGCCCTCGCCGGCCGCGGCAAGCGGCATCCAGCGCAAGCGGTGGCAAGATCCTGCTGGCGCGCCCCAGGCGCCATCGCCGGCAACGGCGCGAGCAACCGCTGACGCGCCGCGGCTGTGTAAAAGCGGCGGAGGCCGACGCGCGCCACCAAAATGCAGGGATCGCCCAGGCGGCACCGAAGCGCCCGCGCCCGCCTGGGAGAAGCTTCCGAAGGCCTATGCGCGCGCCGCCCAATCCTCGCGGGCTTTGTGCCTTTCCTTGGCCACAACAGCCTCCGCCTTCAGCTGCTCCGCAATGAACTCCGTGAGCGCTGGCGAGATGCAAAGGTTCCCCTTGCTCGCCGCCGCGCCCATGTAGCGCTCGGCCTCCGAAGCAAGCAAGCTCTCGCTCGCCCCGCGGCCCTTCTTCTTGTCTTTCTTCTCCTTGGCGGCCACCTGCGCCGACACGGTATCCTCATAGCGACGCCCCTCGATGAGCTGGGTCTGGCGGCACGCCAACTCGAACGCCGCCAACTCCGCGGTGTTGAGCTGGTCGTAACAGGTGGCCCTCTCCAGCAGCCTGCAGTTCATCTCATGCTGCTGGCAGATAGCGTCGGAGTCCCGCAACCGAGCCTCGGCCTTCCACTTCGAGTGCCACGCGAGCGGGCCCCCTGCGTTCCGACGCATGTGGTCAAGACACTACTGAGTGTCCTGGGGCCTTTGATCGGCCAGTCGCCCCTCGGCGTGGCAGTCGAGTCCCTCGCGGCTGCGGCGAAGTCAAGCTGGGGACGCCCCAGCGGATCCAACGCCAAAGGGAACACACTGCAGTCCGCCGCCGCGGGGGGGGCCGCCGCCACCAGTGCCCCAGCAGCCGCAGCGCCGCCGCCGCCGCCGACAGCCCCCGCGCCTCCCCCCCTCCGCCGAGGGGTGGCAGCGGCACGCCCAGCGCAGCCGCCAACGCGCCAGCGCCGCCTGGCCCCGCGGCCGCGCCGTCGCCTCCAGCGCCGCCACCAGCAGCGGCCGCGCCAGCTCCGCCAGCCGCCACCGCGGGGGCCACCACGGCTGCGCCGACGGGGTCGTCCAGCGCCAGCGCTTGGGGCACCAGGCGCCCAGCAGCAGCGCACCGTCGCGCAAGTAGCCTCACAGCTCCGCCGCCGAAGGCGCACCGCGGAAGCGGTATACGTTGGCCTCCGCCACGCCATACAAAGGAGCCCCGAGCCCGCGCAGCGGCCTCACCTCCTCGCAGTCGGCGTTAACCACCACCGTTTCCAAGTACACGTCCCCGTCAACTGGAACGATGACCGCCTGCGTGGGGGGCACATCGAACAGCGTGATCCTCTCGTTGAACACCAGCGGCCCGCCGACGCGATAACGAATCGCATGCACATCACCTGCTCGCGGCATGCTGGATTGCTGCCCGAGCCTGCCGCGCTGCAATGACCTGGATCTCTACGGCCGAGGCATCCGATGGCGCGCTCTCAACTGCAGACGCTGTGCCGCGCGGCCTCTGAATCGGCTCCCGGCCAGCCACTTGCAGCTCAAGAAAGCGGGCAGCACGAACGAGCCGATCAGCACTCCCAGCAGGAAGGTAACAGCGTGACTGCACCAGGAACTGACCAGATGCACGATGCTGGCCCCTCCGACGTCGGGGCACGAGAGACTGTAGCCGGGCGCGCACTCACAGGCGCAGGGAGGGCAGGCGGGCGGCGCGGCCGAGGTCGCCGACCACACCACAAGGGCCTGCGATGCCCCGCGCGCGAACTCCGCGAGGAAGAGCGTGGCGGCACACTGCATGCCCCTCAAAAGCTTGAGCGCAACGGTTGCGGTCGTGCGGCCGCTCACCCCCCTTCCCCAGCACACACCACACTACAGTTGCTACTATGCTGATGATGATGATGATGATGGTGATGATGATGATGATGGTGATGGTGATGGTGATGGTGATGGTGATGGTGATGGTGATGGTGATGGTGATGATGATGGTGATGGTGATGGTGATGGTGATGGTGATGGTGATAGTGATGATGATGATGGTGATGATGATGATGGTGATGATGATGATGATGGTGGTGATGATGATGATAATGATGATGATGGTGGTGGTGGTGATGATGATGATGATGATGATCATGATGAACATGATGATGATGATGATGATGATGATGATGAGGAGGAGGAGGAGGAGGAGGAGGAGGAGGATAATGATGGTGATGATGGTGGTGGTGGTGGAGGAGGAGGAGGAGGAGGAGGAAGAGGAGGAGGAGGAAGAGGAGGGAGCGGCCCATCCCTGGGCGGTGGCACACCTGAGCGTCTTCCTGCACTGCGTGGCGCTCGGGCGTGTCAACGCCAAGGGGCGGAGCTCCCCTCCCGACGGGTTTTCGGTGGCGGTGGTCCCTGCTTCTCCGCTGACGCTGTGGCCGGTCCACCCTGGGAGGTACAAACGGAACCTCGGGCGGAGAAGTCCTGGTGATACAGGACGGCCAGCGAGCCCGGCAAACTGCTGCCCCAGGCGTCCGACGGTGCGGCTTTTCTGGCCCCTGGCGTGGGCCGCAGTCTCGCGACCTGCAGTTTCCGCACCTTCTGCGTGGCGGGCGCCGCGCCGCGGCGGCGACCGCCGCCGAGGCCGCAGCCGCAGTCTCGGAGGCGCGGCGGCGCCTGCCGCGCAGAAGGTGCGAGGGGGCCAAGAGATGCGATATCTTGATCATCTAAGTGCGCGGTCCCCGGAAATAACTATCATTTCCCCAGGGCTGGTTTGTCCGACGGTCCCAAAACCTGGCGAGGGCCCCCGAGGCCGAAAACGGCCACAAGTCTCGCGTCGTCAATTTTACAACGGCGCGAGCATGTCTGGGCGTGCAGCTCGAGGGGGCCCCCCGACCGCCCCCCCGAGCCTTGTGGGCTGCAGCCCCAGCCCCACAGCTGGATGGCCCTGAGGTTGTCGACCGCGGCTCCCCGAGAGGCCGAGACTGCGAGACGGCGCCGTGAAACCGATAAGAGCGTCATCCCTCGGAGGCCTGGGGCCGTTCCGCGCCACCACGTCGCGCGCGCCGACAGGGCGCGTGCGGGCTAGCGTGAGCTCTGCTAGGTGGCGACATCCGAACCCTAGCCCCAGAATTACTGGACTCTCTTAAGTCGAGGGAGGCGGTGGTAGGATCTGGATTGCGCCAAGTATTCGACGAATTCCGAATCCTGATTACCCCCGCCGCGCATCGAGCTGCCTGAATCGTGGATCGGCGAGGAAAGGGTTCGGATTTTGCCGCCGATCTGCTGTTGAAAAACGGGCGGGGCCCGCAGCAGGACCGCCTCCCCTTTCCCGAGGGGCCGAGGGCGGACAGTGATCCAGCAAGGCCCCTGCTAGGGAACAAGAGGTCGCCCGCCCAGAGGGCCGAGGGCGTGCTAAGATCTCCCGCAAGGGGTTCCGAGTACTTGTATATTCCCGAAGCAATGCTTGTACTCAGGGGGTCCTACTTCTCTGTCTGAGAAACTGGGCCTGGTTGGCGGTCTGGCGGCTCCGTGCTCGCCGTCACCGCCCCGTCGCCGCCTCGTCGCCGCCCGTCGTCTAGGCCTGGCTGGCGGTCTGGAGGCTGCGTGCTCGCCGTCGCCGCCCCGTCGCCGCCTCGTCATCCCCCGTCGTCTGGGACTGGCTGGCGGTCTGGCGGCTCTGTGCTCACCGTCGCCGCCTCGTCGCCGCCCCGTCGCCGCCCCGTCGCCGCCTAGATCTTACAACATAGATTCTCCTTTCAATTATAGCCGGAGTGCAGTATCCCCAAACAGGGTTTTTAGACCCACTGCGGTTTCCAAGGTCGATTGCGTGCCCGTCCAGTGCGGGCTGGCATGGCATGTTAAAACATGCCTCCTCCTCCTCCTCCTCCTCCTCCTCCTCCTCCTCTCCTCCTCCTCCACCTCCTCTTCATCCCGAACGGCATCTCGGAGCCCAGAGTTGCGAGGATGTCTCCAGCGTAACGGGCTGGACCACCTCGCGCGCGGCATTTCGGACCCCAGAGTTGCGACGATGTCTCGGGCGAAACGTGCTGCGAGGAAGTCTCAGGCGAAACGGGCCGGACCACCTCGAGCGCGGCGTCTCAGAGCTCCGAGTTGCGGGGGCCTCCTGGTGCCTCCTGGGGCCTCCTGGGGACCTCCTGGGGCTTCCTCCTGGGCCTCCTGTGGCCTCCTGAACTCCACCTGGGGTTTCCTGAAGCCTCTTGGGGCTCCCAGGGGGGATATCTAACCTGTGGCCGTTTGGGCCCTTCAAAATGGAGGGGGGCACAAGAGCAGGACAAATCAACGAATCGACACCAGATGTGTATTAACTTGACACGTTCTGATAGGGGGCCTCCTGGGGCCTCCTGGGAGCCTCCTGGGAATCTCCTGGGGACCCCTGGGGCCTGTCCTGGGCGTCCTGCGGCCTCCTGGAGCTCTCTGGGGCCTCCTGGGGCTCCAGGGTCCCAGGGAGGATATGTAACATGTGGTCTTCTGGGCCCCCAGGCTGGACCGCCTCTTGCGCGGCATTTGGGAGCTCAGAGCTGCGAGAATGTCTTGTGCGAAACAAGCCGGACCACCTTGCGCACGGCATCTCAGAGCTCAGAGTTGCGAGGATGTCTCAGGCGAGACGGGCCGGACCACCTCGCGCAGGGCATCTCAGAGCTCAGAAGTTCGAGGATGTCTCAGGCGGGCTCCCAGGGTCCCAGGGAGGATATGTAACATGTGGTCTTCTGGGCCCCCAGGCTGGACCACCTCTCGCGCGGCATCTGGGAGCTCAGAGTTGCGAGAATGTCTTGTGCGAAACAAGCCGGACCACCTTGCGCACGGCATCTCAGAGCTCAGAGCTGCGAGGATGTCTCAGGCGAGACGGGCCGGACCACCTCGCGCAGGGCATCTCAGAGCTCAGAAGTTCGAGGATGTCTCAGGCGAAGTGGGCCGGACCACCTCTCGCGCGGCATCTCCGAGCTCAGAGTTGCGAGGATGTCTCAGGCGAAACGGGCCGGACCACCTCGCGCAAGGCATCTCAGAGCTCAGAATTTCGAGGATGTCTCAGGCGAAACGGCCCGGACCACCTCTCGCACGGCACCTCGGGGCTGAGAGTTTCGAGGATGTCTCAAGCGAAACGGCCCGGACCACCTCTCGCGCGGCGTCCCCGAGCGCAACTGTTCGAGGATGTCTCAGGCGAAACGGCTAATCCCGGCCAACTCAGAAACGAAAGTTGTGAGGATGTCTCAAGCGAAACGGCCCGGACCAGCAAATTTTTGTGAGGATGTCTCTGCTCCGACTTCCCTTGGCCGGAGTTAGCTTCTATCACAACAGCACCCCGTTCAGCAAGCTGTTTGGGGAAAAAAGAGAATAGACTCTACCCCCCTGGCGTTATCGGCCCCCCTTTCGGGTATGTAACTCATATATGATTATGACCACATGTCCATCCTAAATATGAACTTGCACTATCCCAGGGGAACCAGTATCGTTCCCCCTGAGGTTCCCTTTTTTCCCGGAAAGGGCATAAGCCCAGGGTTCTCTTTTAGTAGGTTAACCCCCGGTTGTGACGGCTGTAGGGCCGGCGAATTTCTTCTGCGATAAATAACAAGGTCGCGTAGGGCCGGCGAATTAAAGTTTGAGGATGTCTCGAGCGAAACGCTTGTTTTTCAGAATTTGTTGAGGATGTCTCGAGCGAAACGCTTGTTTTGTGGTTTGGATTGTCCTCTCCTGGGGACCTGAATTCTGAGGATCTCTCAAGTGGATTGCTTGTTTTCACGTGCCCAGGTCTTGATGATGTCTCGAGCGAGACGCTTGGTTTCACGCCTCCAAGTGGCCCAGACAGATGTCTAGCATGAGGATTTGTTGAGGATGTCTCGAACCAGAGGTTCGTTTTCACGTGTCCAGGTCGCCCAGGCCGATGTCTAGCATGAGCATTTGCGGAGGATGTCTCGAGCGAGACGCTTGTTTGCACATGTCCAGGTTGCCCAGGCGGATGTCTAGAATGAGAATGTGCTAACAACGTCATGATCGAAACGCGTTTTTTCACCTGTCCAGGTCGCCCAGGCACAGCACAGCCCTCGGCACGGTACATCAATATCGATACCCTTAGCACTGCAGCCTGGCATGCTGCCTGGCACGTTCCGCGGAGCGTCCCGTGGCGAGTCCCCCTGGCACGTCGCGCGGTGCACGTCCATTGGCACGTTCCGTAGCGCGTCCCCTTGGCACGTCCCGCGGTGCGTGCCCATGGCACGTCCCCTGGCACGTCGCCTGGCGCGTCTCTTGGGACGTTCCGCGGCGCGTCCTCTTGGCATGTTCCCTCTGTCGATTAGTTCTGGGGCAGCTACCATCTGCTCAGGCAGCTCGAGCTTACGATCCAGATCAGTTCGGTGAGGACTCGGATGCCAGGGAGGACTCGATCCACAACGCTACATAGAGCACAATCGCGGCATGGCACATCGAAGTTCAGCACGGCCCAGCACAGCACAGCCGCCGGCACGGTACATCAAGATCGATACACTCAACTATGCACCTTGGCACGTTCCTTGGCGCGTTCAGTGGCGAGTCCACCTGGCACGTCGCGCGGCGCGTCCCCTGGCACGTCCCTCGGCACGTCCATTGGCACGTTCCGTAGCGCGTCCCCTTGGCACGTCCCGCGGTGCGTCCCCATGGCACGTCCCATGGCACGTCGCCTGGCGCGTCCCTTGGGACGTTCCGCGGCGCGTCCTCCTGGCATGTTCCCTCTGTCGATTAGTTCTGGGGCAGCTACCATCTGCTCAGGCAGCTCGAGCTTACGATCCAGATCAGTTCGGTGGGGACTCGGATGCCAGGGAGGACTCGATCCACAACGCTATATAGAGCACAATCGCGGCATGGCACATCGCAGTTCAGCACGGCGTAGCACAGCACAGCCCTCGGCACAGTACATCATCATCGATAAATTCAGCATTGCACGTGCCCGTCGCCCAATCAGGTGTCTTTGAAATGTTGGAGAGAGCGTGATCCACCGCCGCTTTACTGTGGAAAATTGCCAACCTTTTCTGATCAAAACACGGGGGTCTCCCCTCCCCCCCCCCACCACCCCCCCCCCCCCCCCCCCACCCCCCCCCACCCCCCCCCCCCCCCCCCCCCCCCCCTCCCCCCCACACGATCCCCCCCCCCTACACGAAAATCCCCCCCCCCCCCCCCCCCACCTGCCGGACACCCCCCCCCCCCCCCCCCCCCCCCCCCCTTCCTCCCCCCCCCCCCTGTGCCCAAAACCCCCCCCCTCCCCTAACCCCCCTCCCCCAACCCCCACCGCCCCTCGAAAACCGGGGGGGGTCACTTACCGGTTCGAACCCCTCCCCCCCCCCCCCCTCCGGATACGGAAAAAAACCGGGGGGGGTTCACTACCGGTGGAACCCCACCCCCCCCCCCACTCGAAAACCGGCGGGGGTGGGTCACTACCGGTTTCGACACCCCCCCCCCACGCACCGCCGGCAAACGACTCCCGGCCCCTACCACCGCTCGCATCACACCCCCCACTGTTGTTCCCAGCACCACTGTCCTCACCACCACTGTCCCCGCTGGTTCCACCACCGTCCCTATTGTCCTGACCAGTGCCCCCACCACTGTCGCACTGTCCCCACTGTTTCCACAACTGTTCCCACCGCGGTTCCACTCTCCCCATTGTCTCCACGGACCCAACTACTGCCTATCCCCACTGTCCCCACTGTCCCACTGACTCCTCCGCTGTCCCACTGAGCTGTCCCACTGTTTCCACCACTGTCTCCACTGTCCCCACCACTGTCCCCACTGTACCTCTGTCCCATTGTCCCACCGCCGTCCTCCCCACCGCCTTTCCAGTGTCCCCACCACCATTGTACCCTCCACTGTCCCAGTGTTTCCACCTCATTCCCACTGTCCCCACATCGCTGTCCCCACCGCCACCGTTCCCACCACTGTCCACTGTCCCCCCTGTTCCCACCATTGTCCCCACCACTCCCCACCACTACCGTCCCCACCACTGTCCCACTGTCCCCCCACTGTCCCCACCACTGTCCCGCTGTCCCCTCACCACTGTCCCCACCAACACCGTCCCCACCACTGTCCGCACCCCCACTCGGTTTTTCGAGGGGGGGGGGGGGTTCGAACCGGTAGTGACACCCCCCCCCTTTCATAATGAGCTGGGAGGGGGGGGGGGAGGGGTTCGAACCGGTAGTGACCCCCCCCGGTTTTCCGGAGGGGGGGGGGGGGGGAGGGGTTCGAACCGGTAGTGACCCCCCCCGGTTTTCCGCCAGCAGCGGTAGAACACGCTCTTTCAAATGTTGCAACGCCTAACATTTCTATATTCCTTTCCAGGTTCGTGGGTCGATTATGTTTTTGTTGTTTGCTTGTTTTTTTGACAAAGAATCCCTTGCACAAAAAAGGGACGATGTGCACACGCGCGCGTCGTCGCGCGCATGCCGAAATTCTTCAAAAACCTTCGGTGTCGGAAG